AAAAAAAAAAAAAGTAAAATAGTATAAAAGTTAAAAAAAGGCAAAAATTTTTGGTGACACTTATGCAGCTAATTCACACAACCGACTGAAGTATGAAGAAAAGATTATGTTGACATGAAGGGTAACCAAGATAAAAACTATTTCCTTCTTTTTTCTTTGGCACAATACATTACAAAAACATTAGACACGCAAACAAACGTTGTACATGGATATGTGTAGGATGCACAATTACACGGCACACTGACATACGTAATACACTATCAAATAGGCCGGAAACACGCAGGGTATTGCTGAATACATGAAAGGCAAGTAAATAAGTAGATACAGACTTCCAAAAGCGACTAAGAGTCCTCCAGAAGACAGAGCTTCAAATATGTAAAATATGCGAGTATAAGAACATTCATGAATAGTCCGGATAAAAGAAGATGCATGCTTAAGCAAACACAAGGGACAGGCTTTTTCAGACGACTTAAGACCGCAGGTATTTGGACAGATAAATGTGGCCACAAGAGACCGAACACCTGTACATGCAGACATAGACACGCCTATCAGTATAAATACTGCATAATCTCTGTTTTATCTGTACTTCTTTTGTTTCTGAAACATGGCAAGATTAAAACGATATATATATATATATATATATATATATATATATATATTTATTTATGATGAGTGTTGGATAGACAGAATAAAGTGCGAACCCATGGCAAAAACGAATTTTGGTTATTAGTCGAAAGAAAGAATCGCGAAAATTTTAAGTTTCAAGTTTCTATCCGCTTTGCATTACCGTCTAAGGTTTCATTTCAGTGCAGAAGATGTTGGAGTTTGATTAGTCGCTTTTTCACAACTCCTGTTTTCTATCAGCACTTTAAGTTTTAATTATTCACTCGTAAACAACTCAAACAAGAAAAAAAAAAAAAAAAGTTCAACAACAAAAACAAAGAAAAATGAAGCTAAACTGGAAACGATTAGTGAAAACTTAAGAAAAAAAGAATTTGAGTAAATCATTGCGTGATAAACATTTTAGTATGTTTAATGAAAAGCAATAAAAACTCCTTCGTTTCAAATATATTCTCCACTTATCGTTTTTCTTCTTCTTCTTCTTCTTCGCCTTCTTTTTCTTTTTCTT